TAGTGTGAGGTGATGGTTAGTTAAAATTATGTGAGAGAATTAATAATAAATTAAAGTTTATGTGATGAATAACAATGATTAGTTGATATCATTTAATTATATTGATAATATTGAGAATAGTAGATTCAGTTAAAGTTGAGTTAAATTTGAGTATGAACTGAATATGAAATGAATTTTTTCAAATACAAATACACCCTAACCTGAGCTTAATTTTGTCTCTCATGACTAGTGCTGTTAAATTAATAAAGCCTTGCTTGACTCAGCTCGAACTCGACTCGTTAAGGCTCGAGTTCAGGGCATTAACAAGCCTAGCTCGAACTCATTTAAAACTCGTTCGGCTAACGAGCCGAGCCAGTAAGGCTCGAAAATAGAATATTTATATAATTTTTTATAGTTCGGCTCGTTAAAACTCGAGACCGGTTCATTAAATCTCTAACTCGAAGCCTTAACGAGCCGAGCTCAAACTCAATTTCAGACCCGTTTACTTAGCGAGCCGAACTGTGGACTCGACTTCGACTTGACTCGTTTCCAACTCTATCCATGACAAGTAAAATGAAAGTAAAAAAAAACATTGATGAGTTTAGTAAATAAATAAAGAAATTACCTGGTGGTGGTGCTGCCATCTCCATGGGTAGAAGTGCCAAGGCTGGTCAAATGCTGACGCATCTAAATGCACTGCTGCTATCACCGGCAACACTTTCCATCCACATGGAATGTCATAACCTTTTTTTTTTCATTTTTTTATTATTTTATATTAGAAATATAGAAATTCTTTATATATATATATATATATATATATATATATATGCAATTATAATTCAAGGAGAAAACAATATGGGAAATTTATTTTTTGTTGGCTGGAAAGAAAAAAATAAATAAATAAGAAATTAGTCATACCTTTATACCTAACATCTTTGAGGGCTTTTCTGTGTAGAAATCTAACCACGTTCCCCAGCCTCAAAGTCTCGCTTATGACCTGAATTGTTTATTCATGTCATGCCATGGACTACTTTTGTTATTTACCTTTTTTTTTTTATTTTTTTTTTGTCCCAAATTTTAACCATATATCTAAATAGTAAACAATTAATGGACAACAATAATAATAATAATAAAAGTAAAATACAATTTTATTTCTGTATGTTTTACTACCGTTACTTTTTTTTCTCCTTTGAATTGATTTTTGTTTTTCGTCCCTGATATTTGTAAAAATGTTGCAAAAAGGTCCCTGAACATATGCGTAAGGGACCAAAATAGCAACATCTTTTGCAAAACATAAGAGAC